TAGTTGTAGTATCTTTCTCCAGTTTTCTAACAAAGTTCTTGATCATTTTCTAATACAGGTTGTGAGACATATATGCACAGCAGAGAACTTAGTGTGACAATACTATCATCATATCCAGGCTATGTGAATCTCTTCCATCTTGTTAAAAATGTATACCATTTCCCTGAAAACAAGACCTCCCTGGATAAGCAGCCCAATTAGGCTTTTGAGCGCATGTGCTAAAATATGTCCTCCCCTGAAAATAAACCCTTACAGAAAATATTGCACCACAACAGCAGCCAAGAGGTGACCACGCTCGCCACCTCCTGCATCTCAAAAATAGTAAGACCTCCCCCAAAATAAGGCCAAGCACTTATTTCGAGGGTCAAAGGAAAATAAGACCCTGTCTTATTTTAAGGGAAACATGGTAGTTGTGTTTTTCTTCAATAACGAGTATCAGTGCTCCCATATACAGCCTGCAAAAAAGTAACAGAAACTAACTTTTATATGCAGTGATCTCTGGGTGGCAGCAAAGGACTGGTTTTTTTAAAAAAACATTTCCTTCTTGCTGCCCCCTCGTAGTCCTTTGGAGTTTTGCAGATTAGAAATGATTGTCCTGCGACCATTCAACATTTTTGACCAAGTAAGCGATGGAATAGATTAGAATCAAAGAAATATTTCCATACTGCTGCCAAGAAAGTACATGAACTTTATCAATCCGAAGTCAAACTCAATTGGAAGACTTTACTTCAACCTGAGAGGTATAATATCTGTTTTAGTATTTTAGTGAAGAGAAGGACCAGGGGAGACATGATAGCACTGCTCCAATATTTGAGGGGCTGCCAGAGGGGCTGTCAAGATATTCCAAAGCACCTGAAGGCCAGACAAGGAACAATGGATTTCAACCTAAAAATAAGGAGAAATTTTCTGACAGTGAGAGCAAACAAGCAATGGAACAGCTTGACTTCAGAAGTTGTGGGGGCTTCACCACTGGAAGCTTTCAAGAAGAGACTGGACTGCCATCTGTCAGAAATGGTGTAGGATCTCCTGCTTGAATGGAGGGTTGGACTAGATGACCTACAAGGTCCCTTCCAACTCTGTTATCTCAGCCGATGGTAGGAGGAAGTTGGGGGGGGGGAAGGATGAGGAACGAGATGCGCATAACAGAAGCAGCACCCGGAAGCTTTTTTGTATTACACACACAATTGGAAAAAAAAGTGTAGTTAAAAACTCATCGCGTTGCTCTTTCGTTTCTTCCGTTTCCTCATTTCCGGCACTGTGTCCGCATTTAAAACCCTTCCTGAAAGGAAGACATCTTCTTTTCCATTGTACCTTGCAATATTAACCCGCCGGCTATAAATAAATAACTACACGTATGTGCACACACGTGCACTTCCTCCTCGGGGCGGGATTCTTCCCCCACCCGCTTTAAAGAGCCACGTTCGCTCCGCCTCCCCCATTTGCGTCTAAGAAGGAAGCGGAAGTGACGTCCTGTGNTCAGGATATTGAATATAAATTTTCTACTTGGGAAATAATTGAAAAGGAAAGCTTGAGTGGGAGCATCTCAGCTTCCTTATATTAACTGGGGGGAAAATATACAGACAGTTTCAGCTTTTGGGGATTTAATTATAAACTATGCGGATATAACCAAACTCTATTTCCTTAAATGGAAGAGGAAAACACCGTGAAATTTTGCAAGCAAAAGCAAATCAAATGCAGGTATCCAGGTTGTACAGGGGTTAAAGCATTTATGGCTGTGAGTCAGGGTAGCCAGAGGGAGGTCCATAGACACGAGGAGGTGGAGGCGGGTAGGGTGCAAAACTGAACTTGAAAGGAGAGAACGAGGAAGCTTCTGGTGGATCTGAATTTGCAAGGAAAGGAACCATATCCAGGCTGGCCCAGCTTGCTGGGAGCATTGCTCTGAAATCTGTTTGCTCAGGAGGAGGCTTGGTAGGAGGAGAAGATGGAGGAGCTGCTATTTCTTGGCTTGGGCTGTGGAAAAGCATAGCATAAGTCAGTGCCTAAGAACTTATAGATCGTTGGCTGATTTTGCCTAACTTCCCATTTTGGGGTTCACACAATTGTGCTTTCTCATATATAGCTCCCAGGATTTTCACTCTGATTTCCCTACATAAAGTATTTCTAAACTTCCTTAGTCCTTTCTCATTCAACTGAAAATCCCAAAGGTGCTTTTTTGAAGAGACAACTGCACTTTCTGATTTTTCTTTAAAAAGAAAGGAATGCAAATGTCCAGCTGTCTGCAAGGAGTGTAAATCTCCACCATCCAGCCAGAGCTGAAGAAGCTTCTCAGCTGAGAAGCGAAAATTCAAAGAAAAAGCAGAAAATCCAGTTGCCTCTTGAAAAAGCACCTTTGGGACAACCATGAGCTGGATGACTGAAAATCTCCATAGACATTCTACTGAAGACATTCCTTTTTTTTCTTGTAATATCCTATTTACCTATGTAGGTAAATCAAGAGGGTTCGACCTTGGCAAATTTAAGATTTGTGGACTTCAACTCCCACAATTCCCCAGCCAGACTTCTGGGAGTTAAGAAGTCCACAAGTTGTTGCCAAGGTTGAATATTCCTAGTGTAAAAGGTAACACTGGATTTTGAATTTCTTTCAGGATTGAGTTGAAAGGATAATTTCAAATCTGCAAAATATTATTATAAAATATTTTCACATTGGCCTGAAAACTAGGATGGAATGCAGGATGATATTAACCAATAGGTTGTTGCCTCTGGCAACACAGCTGACATTAAAAGATAAGCCTGAGGAAAATCTTATACATAATAAAATCTTGTACAAAATCTTGTTCATAATTGGAACAGCTGCTAATAAAGATGTTGGCTTGGCCCATTTTGATCATATGATCAGTGAAGCAAACTTAATCTACTGAAACATTTGTAGAAGACCTCCATCTCTCGTCACACTAAAATATTGTTTTACATATAAAACAAAGTGCCAATTTTCATTGCGGGATTTGGATAATGATCACTCTTGCATAATTAATGTAGTTGCAACTGATGTATAGCTCTGTTTAAAACATTTAATAGGCATCAGGTTTATTGGATTTATATTGGATTTATTGGATTTGGTTTATTTGGTTTATTATATATCCTTTCTTGGGGATATATCACTAGATTCCTCTTAAGTCTTAAGTGTGATAAATACTTGTGCACCTGCACAAACAGAATGGTTTTCTATAGTATTTTATTTGGAGGAGGAGGAGCTTGTTTGTGGTGGATAATTTTTCATACTCGATTTAAATTTTCATGCTGGAGAACCATGCAGTCTTGAGTTGGACAAAAAGTAAAGCCCTCTTTTCTAAATGCCATATGTTCTCAAAAGTGGATACAGTGTAAAAATGACTAGAACAGTATATTCCTCTTACATATAATGAGGATATTTTCAGGACACAAAGATATTTTGAAGAGCCAGTTTGGTCTAGTGATAAGGCACCAGGCTAGAAACCCAGAGACTGAAAGTTATAACCCTGCCTTAGGCACAAAAGCCAGTTAGGTGACAGTTGGGTGACAGTTGGTCTAGTCTAGGCCCACAATGTCGTGGTCCAGGTGACAAGATGATTAGTCAATTCCTATGACAACCATTGGATCAATACTTGATTGATCTCAAAAAAATTGTGTTTGCGGGAAAATGTTAAGAATGTTTTTAAAATTCCCAGGACAGTTCTTTATTACAGTGTTTCTCAACCTTGGCTACTTGAAGATGTCTGGACTTCAACTCCCAGAATTCCCCAGCCAGCGAACGCTGGCTGGGGAATTCTGGGAGTTGAAGTCCAGACATCTTCAAGTGGCCAAGGTTGAGAAACACTGCTTTATTAGATAGCAACTAAAAAAAATAATCTGAATATTTGAGGCTAGCTAAGTGATCTAATAGTGAAGGCACCAGGCTAAAAACTAGGGGACTCTTTTAAGTTCTAATTCCATTTTAGGCATGAAAGCTAGCTGGGTGGATTTGGGTCATTCTATTTCAGCCCAATTCACCTTACAGGATTGTTGTAGTTGGGAAAGTAGGAGGAAGAAGGAGTGTTAGATATGTTTGCTGCCTTGAGTTGTTTGTAAAAATAATAAAGGCCAGATATAAATAAAATAAATCTACAAAGGTCACAACTGGTTTTCTAAAAACAGAAGAGTGTCAGTCATTAGATTTGGATCACTGGCTGATACGGGATATAAGCAATTAGTTCACTTTGATATGAAACTACAGGGGGAGATCATTGATCAATTCAAATACAGTATCATCGCTACTGATGGTTTGTACATCTCAATCCCAGGCTGTGCAAGTGATGACCCTACATATTCTGGAGGTGTTGTTCAGGCCTATATGTGTCCAACCTGGGCAACTTTCAGACATGTGGACTTCAACTCCCAGAATTCCTCTTACAGCCATATTTTAGTTATGTATTGTTTAAAATCGGTGGTGGGATTCAGAAATTTTTACTACTGGTTCCAAGGTGGCGCAGTGGTTAAATGCAGCACTGCAGGCTACTGCTAGATCAGCAGGTCAGCGGTTCAAATCTCACCGGCTCAGGGTTGACTNCCCTCAGGGAAAAGGGCGGCCTACAAATATTAATAAAATCTCAAATCTTAATAAATCTCTTTTAAGTTTTGCTGCTGTCTTTAAGGATGTTGAATTGCTGATTTTGTGTGGATGGCAGTTGCATGTTTGTCTAGAGAGCACCAGGTTTGGGAAGGCTGTGAATTGAAGGGAACTTGGATACAGCAGCATTATACAAAGGACAAAATGAAGAGGCAGTGCAGTTTGCAGGAACCTGTTTGGATATTCTATATGAGCTGCTTTTCACTTAGTAGAGTAATTTGTATCCCAGATACTGCTTACCTTGGGTCTGCGTGGTGTATTTCCATCTCTTTCTCAATAGTGTAAAAAGATTTTCAGTAGTCCCTTGGGAAAATTTGAAGAAATCATCGCCCTTCCACTTTACCAGTTGTTTATATGGGCTACTTGAGTGGTTTGGTTGTAGTGTGAAAGTATTTGCCTAGCTATGCTTCAACACAGTTTCATTCTGCCTGTTTTCATGTTTCTGTTTTTTGTTAACTTTCCAATGGTGAGACTGTGAGATGAAAAGATACCCAAAATTGAGACTATTCCTATAGTTTAATAGTTGTTTTGGAGGGTGTGAAATTTCTTTAGCTTCCCCTTTGCTTTCATCAATGTTACAATCTTTATTAAGAATATACAGGTAGTCCTCGACTTACAACCTTTCATTTACTATCTAAAGTTACACCAGCACTGAAAAAAAGTGATTTATGACAGTTTTTCACACTTAACTGTTGCAGCATCCCCATGGTCACATGATCAAAATTCAGATGCTAGGCAACTGACTCACATTTATGAGGGCTGCAGTGTCCCGGGGTGATGTGATCACCTTTTGCAACCTTTTGACAAAGTCAAGGGGGAAACCAGATCCACTTAATAACCATATTACTAATTTAAGAACTGTATGATTCATTTAACAACCATGGCAAGAAAGATCATAAAATGGGCAAAACTTAACTGTCTCATTCAGCAGCAGAAATTTTGGGCTCAGTTGTAATTGTAAGTCGAGGACTACTTGTATTTTTAACTTTACTTGGTTGTAGTTTGCTCTGATCTAGAATCCTTTTGAAGAAGAATCTGTGTGCTCATAGAAATTCTGTGTGTAAATATTTGTACGCACATGTTTGTGCGCACATGTAACAGTTGAGGTTTCCTATTTTTTCAGGGGGGGAGAGATGGCTGAAATCAGTGACCTTGACCGCCAGATTGAACAACTGCGGCGCTGTGAACTCATCAAGGAGAGTGAGGTCAAAGCCCTCTGTGCAAAGGCCAGGCAAGTGTTTGTAGACTACTGAGCAGTAACTGATTTTATATGACAGCATGCAGCTGATGATGTGAAAGACAATTCCAGATGACACATCTCCCTTTTCCCTCCAACAGAGAGATCCTAGTGGAAGAAAGTAATGTCCAGAGAGTAGATTCCCCAGTAACAGTGAGTAAGGGTTT